TATAAAGATAAGCAAAACTAAAAAGAATCCTGAGATTAGGCATTATTATTTTTTAACTCAAAACAAGTATGTCTTCAGATCCTTATGTTATAATATGCTACTGTTTATCAGAATTCTAGCAAGCATATGCAAAATCAATCAGTTCAAAATATTCAGTCTCTCTTTGAACTATGCCATTGAAGAAATGAATAGGTAGTTTCTGGAAGTAAATCATCCAAACTGAAAATGGTTTCAGGTGTTCCAGCCAAGATGTTTCATATGAAATATCCTTTCTGGAATACTGCAAACAGCTTCTGGCATTCTCAGAAATGTTCCAACCTACCTATTCATTTCTTCAATCTTTCAATGCTGGTTATTACCAATTAATATTTCTACTAAATTACTGGAGTTTTCTAGCACACCAATCTTGCAATTAAAGGCAGGATCTGTCTGGAACAGGGGTGTCGTTGAGAGCCGCATCAGGGTTGTGTTTGACCTGGGGGGGCCAGGGTGAGTGTGGCCAGGGTGGATGAGGTTAGCTCAACATCACTTGTGTCGGGGAGGGGCCTGTGGTGGCCTGAGTGCTCTGCCAGCAAAAACAGGCTCCCAAGCTGGTTTGGGCTGTGAAGGCCTCCTTAAACACCATGCAAATGAAAACGGAGCTCAGGAGGGTCCCCTGTAGTTTTTCCGAGCTCCGTTTTCACTAGGCACAGGAACCGCCAGTCCTTTGCTGTTTCCAGGGTGGCCCCACAGGCCAGATCTAAGCACCCCACGGGCCAGCTCCAGCTCCCAGGCCTTGAGTTTGACATTCCTGCTCTAGAATCTAGATTTCCTGCCTTGTTAGTATACACTTTATAGTATATAATGTAAGTCTCAGGAGTAAACAATGTCATTCAATCTCACTTTTAAAAGGGACTGGACATTTCTATTTTGAAATCATTATGTACATATGTGCTTTACCCTTTCTGCACAAAATTATTAAAATCCCAATTTTTATTAAATCAGGGTACTTTTTTCCACAGTCATTCTCAAATGTAAAAATGAACAAACCAGACACAACATGCATCCATTTCAAAATAAGTCTGTTTATCGAAAGTTACTCTTAGGTGGAGACAATATAAAGAATAAAGAGGATTTTTTTTTTCAGAATTTATGGAATGATTGGGGAGATACTCAATTTGAAAGACTTTTTTAAAAACAAAAATGTTAGTGTACCAGTAAGGACACCTAACAAATGTTTTTATTGCTATTGTACTGTACTTTTTTAATTTTCAGTTTTTATTTATAATCTTAAGACAAACTGAGGTTGCATTTTGGACTTCATTCATTGTTACAGAGTGAACAATGAACAGATGTTAAAAAGTCATCTTACCATGTTTTCTTGATTGTTCATTTGTGTGCAGCATGTAGGCATACTATGATATATATTCTACTCAAGACTATACATAAAAAGTAACATTTTGTTTATCAAAAGTCCATTTTCATCATGAAATCAGGTGAAAGTGCAAAACAGGTCTGTTCTTAACATGAACACAGAATATGATTTACAGTGTTTTGAGGAGTGGCTAGTGTGGAAAATTCCAACTGAAGAGTACACCAGTCCCATTCGTCTGCTGGTTCTCAAATCTGATACCATTACAGCAAATAATAGGCCTTACGTGCTACCCGTGGGCATTAAGAGTTCAATTACAGTGGCATCCTAGGTGTGCCATTATGTGTGGCCCTTTTATTCCTTTGTACTTGGTTCTGATTCTTTTGAGTTTTGACTGCTTTCATTCTCACTTCAAACACTTCATGTATGGCCTTGCGGAAGCAGTGGAAATTGTAGTCTATTAGTCCTAAGGAAAAAGAAAACACATGTGAATCTGTTTGTCCAGTCTGAAAACCAAGAGGAGTCGTGCTGAATGTCTCACCTCCTCCAAGGTTTCAGGGGTTGTAGAGCCACAAAGCAACTTTTTCAATGCTAGTCCTCAAACTTTGGAATATTCTCGTCACAAACATATGTCTGGCTCTTTCCCTCCTTGCATTTCCTAAGGATCTGAAAATGGTCTTGTTCAGGTGTACTTTTTATCTTTTTTGTTTATTATGTTTGCTTTTGTTTTGCTACTTTGAGCTCCTGCCCAAACTCATTATTATTTACAATATTTGAAATTTCTTCAAAGTCAAACATGAAAAACAAATTAATTTCCATAGTGCAACTGCCATTTCCCCCCTCTTTTTTTTCTTATTCCCTTAAAATGTGAAAGTTCACAACAAATTTACTCACTAGATCTAATTTTGTGTTATTAAAATTAGCTTAGTTTTAATCACCAGACAGTACTATCATTATTTATTTATCAAAAGAAAAAAATATCCTGAGCCCCTCATTTTTTTAAAAAAATTGAAAAAGTATTTCCAGAAGCTTTGGGGGAAGGAAACAATAAATAAAAAACCTCTGGATAGGATCCTAAAAGGCATATCTAGTGGTATTTTTCCGTCGAAAGAACAGACTCCTGTGCAATTTTGAAACTTCTTCCTAAATATAAGAGTTTGCTGAAACCTGTATTATGGTTCCCTATTCTAAAATAAATGTGCATTAATGTAATTTTCTGTTCATTGGTCAATATAAAGGAGCAAACTGTTTGTTTATTTATTAATCACAAATTTTCTCACAAATTCTCCACAAGCTCAAAGCAATAATGTAGCGCTCTCTTTTCCAATTTTCCCCATAACAGTAAGTACTTTGGGCTGAAATGTGTAAGTGGCCCAAGTCACCAATAGTTTCCATGACTGTGAGTAGAACTAAATCTGGTTTTCCCCTATCCCAGCTAACACCTTAAACTGAACCACACTGCCACTCTCTCCAAAGATCACTTAACTACCATATTTTTCGGAGTATAAGACACACATTTTCCCCTCCAAAACGAGGGTAAAAATCTGGGTGCACCTTATACATTGAATACAGCATTTTTGGCCTCCCGAAACCTCGCCCCCTTCACAAAATGGCCGTGCATAGCCTTTAGGAGGCTTCCAAAGAGCTCCTGGGGGCTGCGGAGGGCAAAAATGAGCAAAAAAAGGCCCATTTTTTCCTTATTTTTGCCCCCAGGACCACTCTATAAGCCTCCTAAAGGCTATGCATGCCCTTTTTTTGACAAAAAACGTGCCCATTTTCGTGAAAAATGTGTCATTTTTGGGAGGTCTGCAGAGTGCAAAAACTTTTTTTTATTTACCTCTTCAAAATCTTGGTGTGTCT